ACAGCCTCCCCCCCAGCAGACTTGGTTGTGAGGCTCGCTGCTTCTTCGGGGAGACCACCAGGCAAGGGACTTGGAGCAGCAGAGGGACATACCTCAGCAGCAGCAGGACACAGCATGGCCCCGATGCAGCAGAAACGGCTCACGTACAAGGATGCGCCACACTGTGGGAGAGCCAGCGAACAGAGCCAGAAGCCCGACACGCCAGCCACGGCACAGCGCCGCGTCGGGTTGTGAGCCGCGTGCGCGCATGCGCGTGCCCGCAGCCGTTTCGGCTCCGAGGCCAGGCGCGGGGAGGGGCGAGCACGCGAGGCGCGGCCATGAGCCGCCGTGGCGCCGCGCCGCTCTGGGCGTGTGGCGGCCGGCGCCGCCCTCCGCATGCTCGGGCCGAGGCGGCCGTCGCAGCCCCCGGGCGCCCGCGCGACGCTGGCCAAGGCTTCGGGGCCGGCCGCGGCCCGCCCCTCCGCCCCGAGGGCGCGGCCGTCGGCCACCTCCGTCTACGGCCGCCGCTCCGAGGCCGCGGCCAGCGCCCGGCGCTCCGACGCCGCGAGGGCCCCCGGCGCAGCGGCGGCGGCCGCCGCGTCAGCTGGCGGCGCGGGAGCTGCGGGAGCTGCGGGAGCTGCGGGAGCTGCGGGAGCTGCGGGAGCTGCGGGAGCTGCGGGAGCTGCGGAGGCGCGCCGCGCCGCAGCGGCGTCGCGGTCGTCGCCCTCCGCGCCGTCGGAGGGGGGGCAGGCGCTCGCGCGGGCGGCGCCAGCGGAGGCGGATCGCGGGAGCGCCGCGGTGCTGCAGCGCCAGGAGGAGCGCGGGAGCGGCGAGGCGGTCATGGAGAGCATGGCGGCGGCGTTTCACCGCAAGGTGTGCCAGCGCCTGCTCCGCCGCTGCCTCGCCGGGTGGCGCGGGTGCAGCGAGGCGTGCGGGCAGCTGTGCGGCCGCCTGGCGGACAGGCTCCACGCGCGGCGGTGCCTGCTGCGAGCCTTCTCGGACTGGGGAGGCGTGGCCTTTGGTCCAGGGGTGTCCAGGACGGCCGAGCGGGCCGCCGAACAGCTCTTCGGGAGGTGTCAGGCCTCCCGCGTGAGGACCTGCTGGTCCGCGTGGCAGCGAGAGGCGGTCTTCGACAACATGCTGCGCCAGCAGGAGAAGGCGGAGAGGGAGCACCAGGAAGCCCGCGCGCAGCTCCAGGAGCAGGGGCTGGAGTTGACGACCAGGACAGCCGACCGGACCGCCGAGCAGCTCTTCAGGAAGCACCACGCCTCCAACGTGAGGATTTGCTGGTCTGCTTGGCAGCGAGACGCTATGTGCCTGGCCATGCTGCGCCAGCAGAAGGAGGCGGAGAAGGAGCATCGGGACGAGCACGCGCAGCTGAAGCGGCACAGGGAGGAGCGCATGCAGGCTGCCGGGGACCTCGCGTCGAAGCGCAGCGAGAGGTTGGTCGCGACGGCGCTGCTGCGCACCTGTGTGGTCAAGTGGCAGCACTTCCTTAGCCTCCAGCGCTTCGAGGAGGAGGTGAATGCGAAGCGTGCCGAGGCCGAGCAGACGTTCGAGGACGACGTGGCGGAGATCATCAGGCACTTCAACGACCACGGGCGCCTCCAGTCCGAGCGGCTGGCGCTGGGAAGGGCGCTGCACGACCAGCTATTGCTTCAGCAGCTCTGCGTCTTCCTGTGGCAGCTATACGTTCGCGAGGTGCGCGAGCGGCTGGCTGAGCTGCAGCAGGCCAAGGACGTGGGCGAGATGTGCGTGCGGCACGAGGACGAGCTCGCCCGCCTCGTCGGGGTGCACGCAGATTCTCGGCGCGAGCTAGCGCTGCAGTACGGCGACCGCCACGTGCGGCACATGCAGAGGGTGTTCTTGTCGCGCTACCTGCAAGCCTGGAGTCACACTAGGAGGCTGAATCGCGAGGAGGCCTTCGATCTGGTTGCCTGCGGCAAGTCCCGCCACCTTGCCGCCAGAGCACTCGCTGTGGCCGCGCTTCGAGCATATCCCAGAAATTTTCGGCGAGCGAGGGGGGAAAGTGAGAAGGGGCGGGCCTTCCCAGAAGGCTCGGAAGTCCCCAAGCCTTCTGAGAAGTTTTCTAAGCCTTTCCCGAATACACACACAAACACAAACAAAAACACCTTTCAGAAGGCGCGAGGGCTTCTGAGAAGTCCTGCCGCCTTCTGAGAAGGCGGTCTCCTGCTCATTTTCCCTCCTCGCTCGCCGCCAGCAGAATGCCGTAACGTGTGACACCTTCTGTCCGCTTTCCTGGGCTGTTTTGCTGTCGTGAGCTCCTGCGGGGCCCTTGGGGGACCTTCTGCCTCTCAGGTCGTCTTGGGGGCCTCTTCGGCCGTCTTGGGCCCCTCCCGGCCCTGGGGGAAGTCCCTCGGGGCTGCCTTGGGAGCCTCCTGCGGCCCTCTTGTGCCATCTCAGGGCCCTTCGGGGCTTGCCCCAGGCACTTCTTGGACCGTCTTGGGGCCGCCCTCCTGAGGCTGTTCTGGGCCGTCGGGGGCTTCTTGAGGCGCTCACTGCGCTCTTTTGGCATATTCTTTGGGTTCTCCGAGGCCCCGGGGCCTCCGGGCGGATGCTTTGGAAGCCTATGTGGCGCTTTTTTGGGGTAGTCTTGGGGGCTGCTGGATGCCTCTGCAGGTACTGTTTTTGTGGCCGTCTTGGCGGCATCACTGGACCATCTTGGAAGCCTTGGAGAGCTTTGGAGAGCCCCATAGACCATAGATGCGGCGGCCCGCCCAGGAAGCCTCGAGACGGGGGGCGAGCACGCAAGCACGTGCGGTGAGAGAGGGGGGGGGGGTCCTGAGAGTACTGACAGAAGCCATACCAGACAGCACTTGGCACTGCACCACGCCTGAGTGTGCCATGGGGCACGGTGGCGGATCTATTGTCGAAGGCTTGCGATGGAAGGGTTCTCGACGAGGTCATGCGCAAGAACGAGCTCCGGGCCGACGCCTACCTCACCCGTCTGGGCCGCGCAGCGTGCAAGGGCCGCGCCCTGACGCAGCTGCAGAACTGCTTCCTGCAGTGGCGCGCGGCCTCCCACCTCGAGCAGCTCGAGCAACACCTCCTGGAGTCGAGGCGCAAGGAGTCGCGCCTCCGCGACGAGCTGCGGGCGGAGCTGACTCTGCAGGCTGGCTCCGCGACGGACACCGGCGTCACCCAAGCATGCGGCGCCCCAAAGAAGGGGCGGCGCGCGCGTGCAGAGATCTCTTAGAGCATACGCTCCGTGACGGGCGGGTCTGGTCGTACCGCTCGGGAAACGGTGTACTACCAGATGGTTGTACTGTCTTCCATGTTCGGGTCGGACGCACGCCTCCAAGGAGGACGCGCAGTACTTGTATGCCCTTCCGCGCCCCAGGACAGGCTGCAGCGGCAGCTGGGGCAGGTCGGCGACGAGCTGCTGCTGCTGAGCCTCTGCCACGCCTGGCTGCGCGTCGCCCGCGAGGCGCGCGCCGCGCGGGGGCAGCGCGGCGCGCTGGCCGAGCAGGGCGCCCTGCTCCAGAGGGAAGCGGCCGCGCGGGAGCGCGAGGACCTGCGGTTCCGCGACGCCCTGGCGCTGCGCGCCGCCAGGTGAGCGACGCAGGAAGACGGGGTCGCCCTGGCACCGCTCGGACGTGTGCATTTTTCTCGGGGAGGGCCATCGAGGACGCGCGCGAAGTCGAAGAACGCACAGGGGGTGGGAGTCCGAGCGATGGCGAGGACGGGGTCGAACCCTCCCCCAGGTGGGGAGGAGGTCCGAGGGGGGCACGCAGTGCTGGTGCGCGCGGGCATGCGTGGGGCTGTCCAGAGAAGGTTCGGTTAGCGGCCGGCACTCTCGCCCCCCCTTCCCCCCTCCACCGCATAGCCCCGGCACAAAATTCACAATCATCTCTTGCGCGGACATTCGCGCGAGCGTTGCCCTTTCGTCAGGTCGCGCGTCTGCGCCCTCGCTTCCAGTGCGGTGTGCCTCACTGGAGGCCCGCGTGAGTCACCGCGCGAGGTCGCCATGCCACCGCGCGCAGGACCCGTGTCTTTCAGGGGGGGAAAAGACACACACACACACAGACAGACACAGACACACTTAATCGTCGATTCCCCAGAAAATATGGGAACACATGGGAAGTGGTGGGGGGGGAGGACGAGAACCCCACAAATATGGAAAGATATAGGCAATCCGGTTATTTGTGTGTATTTATTTGTGTGGTGCTGGGCCCCTTCAGCCTTCGCGTCGCGCAGGTGGGTGTGCGCGTTCGGCTACCAGGCCTGGCTCGCCACGTGCCTCCGGGGATGGCGCGAGGCCCGCGCGCGGGAGCGGCACGAGCAGGCGCAGGATCCGGGGGGGAAGGCGTACCGATGCCGCTGCTCGTCCCGGAGAGCCCTCGCCGCCACGGGTGGATTTTGCTCGAAATTCTCGTCAGAGCTCCTCCTCCTCCTCCTCCTCCTCCTCCTCCTCCTCCTCCTCCTCCTCCTCCTCCTCCTCCTCCAGCGCACCGCGCGAGAGCTCCCAGGGCGCAGCGGTTTTGGTCCTTGTCTGCTCGCCCCCCCCCCCCCCAGGAGGAGTACAGGGCGGAGTACACGCGGCTGGCGGAGAGGCTCGACCGCGGCGTGGCCAGGCTGCAAGAGGCCAACGACGATACCATCATGCGGGTGGCCGACTACAGCCACGGGCTCCAGGCGAGGGCCTTTGCGGGCACCCTCTGCATGGCCATCCTCCACGCGTGGCGCCAGGCGCAGCTGATCCACCCCAGAGTGCACCAGCTCCGCTTAGAGCAGGGGCGCAAAGAGAGCCACAGGCATGGCGCGCTCGTGGGGATCTTCGTCATCGAGCGGCTCCTCGGACCCAGGGAGCACGCGTCGCTGCTCCGGCGGGTGATGGCCGCTTTCTTCGTCTCGACGTACAGCGCGCAGCTGCGGGGGGAGTTCCAGAAGACTCAGGTCGGGATACATCGGGAGATCCACACGACGGCTCTCAATTCGAAGGTCATTTTCAACAAGAAGGCCAGCACCATACTGCGCATTTACGACTCCCGGTGGGTGCTGGGCTTCTTGAGCGTGTGGTTCGTGTCCTGGCGCCGGGAGACCGTCGACGCCCTCCGCGACAGCAAGCTCAACGCTTGGCGCGAGTCGGTGCAGCGAGAGGCCACCACCACCGTGGACGCCATGAGGTCGGAGACGCAGGTGTGGATCGACAAGGCCTACCGCGAGATCTCGAAGCTCGCATCGCACCTGCTGGTGCTGCGCTGCCTGCCCCGCTGGCGGCTCGCGGCCGTCGCCGGCATGCAGAAGAGGGAGATGGACCGCGCGCGCGAGCAGCTCGGTCAGAGCAACGCGGCGCTGCGCGACGGCGGGCGGCACACGGTGCGCGAGCAGTCGTCGAAGGTCGGCGGCTTCGTGACCGCGCAGTTCTTGAGGCGGGCGCGGCTCCTGAGGCTGTCCCTCCACGCGCTCGCGTGGCAGTCCGCCGCGAGCGCCGGCGCAAGGGCCCGCAGGGTCGCTGAGTACCGTGCGGGGCTGCAGGAGGCGCAGCAGCGGAGCGAGGCGCAGGTGGAGAGGGCGGTCGACGAGAAGGAGCTGGCCGTGAGCCGCGCCGCAGTGCTGCTGCTGCGGGAGCGCGAGAGGTTGGAGCTGGCGCGGCCATTGCTGGCGTGGCAGCGCACCGCTGCGGGGCTACGATCGTCTGCGACCGTGGAGCACATGCAGAAACACCACTCGGAGACGCTCCTGGAGCTGAGCCGGCGCCACGCCGAAGGCATCAAGGGCGCCCAGATCGAGTGGCAGAGGAAGTGCCAGAGCACCTCCCTGGCATGCGTTTCCTTCGAGGGCAAGATGCTGCTGTACCGCTGCGCGGCGGCCTGGTCGAGAGAGGTCAAGGCCATGGCCATCTGGAGGCTCACGAGGGACTACGAGGCGCTCACCCAGGAGTACGAGGACCTCTCCAAGGACCACGGCCACGACCACGACGGCGCGCAGGATCGCGAGCCTGGCAGCGACGGTGGGCCTGCCGCGGCCGGCGTCCGAGACGCGGGCGAGCAGGCGCCGCCCGGCGGGGGGCCAGCGTGGGCCGCGCCGGCGGCGAGCGGCAGCGCGCGGCGCTGGAACGCAGGCGCGCCCGAGCTGGCGGCGCAGCTCGCTGGCGGCGGCGCCACGGCCGGTGGCGGCGCCGGCGGCGCGCCGCCAGCGCGGGCGCTGCCCGACCAACGGGAGCAGCGGCCGCCCTTTGCGGCCCCGCCGCGCGTCGGGGCGGCGGCGGTCGCGGCCCTCGCTGCCCCCGTCGGCGGGCACGGCCCCGCGTCGCCCGCGGGGCCGCTCGAGACCGGCCCGCGACCTGGGGCGACGGTCGCCGTCCTCGGCGGTGGCGCCTTCGGCGGCGCCGCGCCGGCCTGGACGGCCCTGCGCCTGACCTCTGCGCCGCCCTCCGACGAGGAGGACGAGCAGGGGGTGATGTCGCCTGGCGTGGCAGATACGCTGGCCAGGCTGACGCGGGCCCGGGTGGCCATCGGGGACCACGAGGTGCCCAAGGAGTTGCCCAGACTGCCCGATGGCATTGGCGGCGTGGCGGACCCAGTCGTTGGCGGCTACGCCAGCGCCCTGCCGCCTATGCCCGAGCTGCCTTTCGAGCGCGCAGACCCCGACGCCCTCTCTGCCAGCGCGTCAGCCATGCAGGCCCGGCTGAGGAGCCTGCAGAAGACCATGGACGACGTGCGCACTAGACACGCCGCTTTTCACAACAGGCCTTCGTGATGCATGCTCCTCCGCCAGTGCAGGCCTCGCCACAGGCGACGGCCTCCTTGCCGCGTGCTGCCAGGGCCGAGGCGAGGGAGCACTGAGGACCACAGCCGCGCCCCACTCGCGAGACCATCGTGAATCGTCGGCGCGCAGCGGAGGGCGCCCCGCGTACCCGCGCAGGCCCGCAGCGGCCGACAGGCCAGAAGGGAGCTGTGGTCCTGCCCCAACCAAAAATGCATGTTGTGTGGCTTGCTCGGGAATTGCCATACGTCTCGCTGTCGCTGCATCCTCTGGTGGAATTGGACTTGGAAAGTGGGGATGCTTCTATGCCTGGGAGTAGCTGGCGGGTGGGAGGGGGGGGAGGAGATCACCTGTGGATGATTATGTGGATATCGAGGGCACGGTGATGGGCGCCCCAGGGTGGCAGTGCTATATGTGGGAGCACGCAGGTCAGTGAGGTCTCGTGTGCATCTGGGTCACAGTGGACCCGATGAGTTCCCCAAACGCTCAGTAGACTGCGACAGGTACACTTGAGTCGGGCATATCCAGTTCAGAAATAGTATGGTGACGATTTGTCGTGCTCTTTTGATTATGTTTCATTATGTTGGGACTATTGTCTAATTTTTCTTCCAAAATCAGCCTGTCTGAGGATATGCCCGACCTACAGGTACACCTTTGGAGCGCAGAGGGGGTGGGGCCGACTGGGCGTGGGCGGTGGGGGCACCCGACACGACGCCCCAGGCAGTCAGTGATGAAAGCAGATACATCTTAGGGATCGCGCCCATGGGGCACGCACTGTCACACGGCAGCACTTGGGCAAGGTGAAGGCAACGCACAGGGAACAACAGGTTCGATGGGGATTCCTCCACTTGCCGGAGTTGAGTTTTTTTGGTGCTTCACGACCTGAGCAGTGCCCAAAATCTGCAGATATGCAGCTCTGAAAGGCCATAGTGGCCCCACAGGCCTACGGATTGCACTCAGCGAATGCACCCATCGAATTGAACAGTTGGTTCTTTATCCACAGTGCTATTTGGTGAACACAGGTGTAGCTTATCTCGGCTGGACGACACAACAACGTTGACTCAACAGTCTGAGGGCGGCCGATTCCTTGTCCAGTGCGAAGTGGCGTGCCATCGTCGTTGTCGTCGGCACCATAGTCACGGCTTTCTCAGACATCGCTGTCGCATTCGCCAGCCGTCTTCGTCGTCCATGGCTCGCCGCCTCGATTGCTGTCGCCAGTGCAAGGCGATACTGCCAACCCAAGCGGCCGTCACGCTGGGGGCCCCAGCCGTCGTCATCGCGTCGTGCGTCACGACCCTTCTCGAGTGTCGTCGGCATCTCGTGGCCGCTCTTGCAGTCGCCACGGTCACGTAACCCTTCGTTTCACGAGTATTGCGGAAAGGGGGAGGGGAGGGGAGGCACGCCGGGCCGAAGTTTGCGGTGCGACTTCCTCCTCCTCCTCCTCCTCCTCCGTGTCGCCCCTCTCCGTCTGCCCCTCCTGTATTCGTGCTCCTCGTTCTATCCATAGCCTCAGACCTCAGACGTCGTTGAGCTGTCGTTTGGTATCGCGACGAGGACCCCGGGGCGCTCGACCCGCATTCACCAGGGCTGCTTGTCCGTCGCCAGACAGATTGTTTGTCCTTTGCGGTCCGAGGGCCAAGAAGACGACATCCATAGGAAGAGCGCACGTGGTTGCTCGGAGGAGGAGGATGAGGAGGGGGAGGAGGAGGGAAGAGGAGGAGGAGGAGGAAGAGGCTGAGAAGGACGCCGTGGAGGAGGAGGAGGAGGAGGAGAAGGATGAAGAAGCGGAGGAGGAGGAGGAGGAGGAGGGATGAAGATGATGATTATGCTGATGATGATGATGATGATGACGATGATGATGATGATGATGCTGATGATGCTGATGCTGATGATGCTGATGCTGATGCTGCTGATTATGATGATGATGATGCTGATTATGATGATGCTGATGGTGATGATGTTGATGGTGCTGCTGATGCTGATGATGATGATACTGATGGTGCTGCTGATGATGATGTTGACGGTGATGCTGATGATGATGATGATGATGATGATGATGATGATGATGATGATGTTGATGATACTGATGATGCTGGTGATGCTGGTGATGCTGAGTATTAGTAGTATTGTTATTCGTACTTTTATCATTGTTGGTATGATGGTGATGATGCTGATTAGTCTTATGCTGATGCTGATGATGATGGTGCTGATACTGTTGCTGATTATGATGCTGATGCTAGTGTTGCTGCTGATGACGAGGAGGAGGAGGAAGAAGAGGATGAGGATGCATCCTGGGTAGGAGGAGGAGGAGGGACCACGTCCTTCAACCACGTCCTTCGACGTGGGGTCTCTGTTTGCTTCTGTCTGCACGTCCTTCCACATCAGCCCCCTGAGCTCTCCTGGGGTGTGCGCGCTGGGCGGGATGTGTAAAAGGGCGGATCCCGCCCGTAACGACGAGGGGCTCACACGCCCCTTGGAGAGGTTGAGAACGTCAGAATTGAATGCTTCTTCTTCTTCTTCCTCGCCTTCCTATCCTCCAGACATCAAAATGGAGAGGAGGTCAGACGAACAAACGGTTACACATACCGGGTCCCTTCTTTCGTGTTCCCTTTTTTGGGCCTCTTGGGAGGCCCTCGTCGCCACCGCTGGATTCGCCTAGAAATTCTGGTCAGAATGCACTTGGGGAGAGGTCCAGGGCGTAGCGGTATCGGTACTTGTTTGGCTTCCCCAGGAGCAGTCAGCATTCGGAAGGAGAGGAGGAAGGCGATGGGGGAGGGAAGGACAGGAGGATGAAGAACCCATCTCCCCCTCTCCTGCCCCTCCCCCTCCCGACGAGCAGGTCGACCTGTCCCTGGAGGTCTCGCCGGGCCCGCTCTGCCAGTCGTTCGTGTTCGCTGCCAGGGCCTGCCTGACGGGCTGCGGGCTGGCGGATGCGTGCGAGGATGGGAGAGAGGGAGGAGGAGGGAGGAGGGAGTGGCAGGAGGGAGGGAGGGAGGAGGAGGGAGGGAGGGAGGAGGGAGGGGGAGGAGGGAGGGGGAGGGGGAGGAGGGAGGGAGGGAGGGGAGGAGGGAGGGGGAGGAGGGAGGACGAGAGTGGCAGGAGGAGACAAGAGGGGAAGGCTCCGAGGCGGGATTCATCCATGACCAGCGCCTGGGGGGTCGATCTTCGGGGATGTGGGCAGGCGGTGGATATGGATACAGATTCAGGCGTGGGGGGGGTTGCAAATACATGCATATCCACCGCCTGCCGTCGTCCCCGGAGATCGACCCCCCAGGGGGTGATTCTGGATTGCCTCGCCAGGGTGGACGAGGGAAAGTGGAGGAGGATCAGGACGAGCAGGGGAAGGTTGACGGGAAGGATGAGGGCGGGGAGCGGCGGGAGGAGCCGACGGCGGATTGCCAGCATAGCGATTGGCCCCGAGCAGAAGAGCGAGGACGAGGAGAAGGACGGACGGCGATGACGATGTGAAGAATTACAAGTGGTAAGAGGTGGGGGAGGAGGAGGAGGAGGAGGAGGAGGAGGAGGAGGAGGAGGAGGAGGAGGAGGAGGAGGAGGAGGAGGAGGAGGAGGAGGAGGGGGAGCGCAGGGGATGAGTAGGAGGAGGAGGAGGAGCAGCAGGAGGAGGATGAGGAGGGATGATGGTGATGATGATGATGATGATGATGATGATGATGATGATGATGATGATGATGATGCTGATGATGATGATGATGACGACGACGACGGACGACGACGACGACGACGACGACGACGACGACGACGACGACGGACGACGATTGATGGATGATGATGTGATGATGATGATGATGATGATGATGATGATGTGATGATGATGATGATGATGAGGAGGGGAGGGGAGGAGGAGGAGGAGGAAAAGGACGAGGAGGAAGGGGAGGAGGGAGGAGAGGAGGAGGAGGAGGAGGAGGAGGAGGAGGAGGAGGAGGAGGCGGAGCATAAGCGCGTGAGGACGAGCCCGCGGTGGACTGCAAGTACAGCGACTGGAGCCCCTTTGTCGCCCCCCAGCCTTGTCGAGCCTTCTTCTGGACCTCCCTCTCGTCATCCCTGTGGGCTCCCCCTCGACCTCCTTCGAGCTCATCCTCCCACTCCTCCCTCTCCTCCCTCTCCTTCTCGCCATCATTACCTCCCTCCCCTCCCTTACCTCCTCCTCCTCCTCCTCCTCCTCCTCCTTCTCATCAGCCCGTCCATGTTTGCTTCCTGGGGGTTGTGCTTTTCACCAACGGCTCGTCTGCGGCAGCACGATGCTGGCGCACCCAGCAGAGCAAAGTCCACGGGGCAGCCGCACAGTTGTCCACGGTGGGGGTGGTGGAAGCCCACGACCTCTTGGTGGTTGCTGGTAGCTGCGGGTATCAGTACTTCGACGAAGTGCTGCCCTGGCCCCCCCCCCCGACCCCCGGGCGGCCTTTCGCCGGTAGGCGGGGGGGGGGGGGGCGGGACGAGAAGTGCACGTTACAAGAAGGGGGAGTGCGCCGGGGCGCCCTCCAGGAGACAGCCTCCTGCTCCTCGCATTCCTCCCTGGCGACCTCGGCGGTGCAGGTGGATGATGCCCGATGCCCCCGTTCCCTTGTCGCGATGCCCATCCTCTCCTTTTCCTTCTCGTCCTGCTCCTTTTTCCCCCTTCTGAGAGGATGGGTCTCAGGTTGGACGCTCCTCTCAGCTCGAGGCAACCCTGTGGCTACGAATGTCCCCAAGGAAGCTCGCAAAGGCGCGACCACATCCGAGAACCCAAACTTCGACGACACGATGTTATGTTCAAGTCGTGGTCCCCCAGACACCTCTCGGCCCCTCTCCCATAAACAGTTGTCCGTGCTGCTTCCCTCCATCCCGAGCTGAGTTTTTTGACGGCCCAAGAGGCCCCAGAAGCAGCCAACGAAAGCCGAAAGTTGGACAGGAACACGACAAGCGGCCAGGCATGTCTGGGTCCTCCTCCTCCTCCTTCTCATCGTCATCAGCAGCATCAGCAGCAGCAGCATCATCATCGTAGTCAGCATCACCATCTTCATCATCATCGCCATCATTGTCACAGCATCATCATCAGCAGTAACATCATCGGCATCATCAGCAGCACCATCACCATCACCATCACCATCACCATTACCATCATCATCATCATCATCATCATCATCATCATCATCATCATCATCATCATCATCATCATCATCATCATCATCATCATCATCATCATCATCATCATCACCATCCTCCTCATCATCAGCAGCATCATCATCAGAATCATCATCAACATCTGCATCATCATCTGCATCATCCTTGCCACTCTGGCAGGCTCCGCTAGCGAGGCGGGCACGCTTTCCGCTCTTCCCAGTGGCGCTCCAGCGGCGGCCACCCACCGGGCCCCAGCATCCGCGTCGCGCGACGGCGACGGCGAGCACGACTTCCTGTGCGCCGCCGTCTCCGCCCTCGCGCCGGCAGCCCCGCCGCGGACTGCACGGACGTACGCTGTATTCGTTGTCTCCTAGTCCTTCTCCGAGGAGGGGGCGGATGAGGAGGAGGAGGAGGAGAAGGAGGAGAAGGAGGAGGAGGAGGAGGAGGGGAAGGCCGAGGAGGAGGAGGAGGAGGAACAGAAGGGGCCGCCTCAGCCCCGCCTCATCCTGTTTCCCTCCCCTGAGCACTTGTGCTCATGGAGTGCGGTAGCCCCCGCGGCTGCTGCTCACCTGCTGGACACTTTCGCGGAGAGCCGAGCTGAACGGGACCGCCCTCGCCCCGCTGCCCTTGGCCTCCGCCTCCTCCAGCGAAGAGACCCTGGAGGAGGCGCCCCCCCCGCCGCCAGGAGTAGCTGGGCTGACTGCGCGGCCACCTGCGGCTCTGGGCAACGGTCGCGCGAGCGCAGGGTGGTGCAGCAGGCCCGGCGGGTCGGACGCCGCCATCGTCGCCGCCGACTGCACCGTCGTGGTCGGCGTCGGAAGAGGAGGAGGAGGAGGAGGAGGAGGAGGAGGAGAAGGAGGAGGAGGGGGAGGAGGAGGAGCAAGAGCACGAGGAAGGGGAGGAGGACGATCAGGAGGATGAGCAGAAGGAGAAGGAAGGGGATGAGGAGGACAAGGAGAATGAGGAAGACGGGAGGAGGAGGAGGAGGAGGAGGAGGAGGAGGAGGAGGAGGAGGAGGAGGAGGACGCGGAGGAGGAGGAGGAGGAGGAGCAGGATGATCAGTAGGAGCAGGATGAGGATGAGCAGGAGGAACAGCAGGAACAGGAGCGGGAGGGCGGGGACGATGAGGATGAGAGGTTGACGCAACATCAGCTCGACGAGGGAGGAGGGGAGGAGGGGGAGGAGGAGGTGAGGAAGGAGCATCAGCAGGAGGGGAACTGGCAGCAGCAAGGCTTTGGTAGTCTACGCTTCTGGTGGCTTTCGAATCTATCGATCGTTGGCTTTCCTGCGGTGTTCGCAAATCCCCGATGGTCTGAGGAGATTTCGGGAGGGGAGGGCTTTTCCTCGTGGGCGCGACGAGAGCTTCGCCTCCCGGAGCGTAAGGCTGGGAAGAGCAGGAGGGTGCCTTGGAGAAGGGTGGAGCAGGAGCAGGAAGAGGAGGAGGAGGAGGAGGAGGAGGAGGAGGAGGAGGAGGAGAAGGAAGATGACGAGGAGGAGGAGGAGGTGGAGGAGGGGGAGGAGGACGTGGAGGGGGAGGAGGAGGACGACGAAGAGGAGGAGGACGGTTTGGGCTGGGAGGCGCTTCCCGGGGAGCGAAGCAGGAGGGAGTGGGAGGAGGGGGGAAGGGGAGAGGCAGGAGGAGAGGCAGATGGAGGAACGAGAGGCAGTATAATGGATTGAGGGGGGGGGCGAGCAGGAGGTCGTCGTCGGCGGCGGCGGCGTCATCGTCGTCCGCGACGTGGCGTCGCCCGCAGGCAGTTTCGGGTCGAGGCCCCCGCCCGCCCGTGAGCGGGCGCGCCGCTGGCGATGGCGGCGCGGTGCCCGGCCCGGCGGGCCCGCGGCGCCGTTTTCCTGGGGCGGCGGGCGCGGTTGCCGTCGGAGGAGGCCGCCGCTGCGGCGCGCGGCTGGCGGGCCGGGCTCCCGAGGGGGGGGGGAAGGAGCAGGAGCAGGAGGAGGGGGCGGAGGAGGAGGAGGAAGGGAATGAGGAGGAGCAGGAGGAGGGAGGAGCAGCAGGAGCTGGAAGGGGAGGAGGAGGAGGAGGAGGAGGAGGAGGAGGAGGAGGAGGAGGAGGAGGAGGAGGAGGAGGAGGAGGAGGAGGGGAGGAGGAGGAGGAGGAGGGGGAGGGGGAGGGGGGGGGGGAGGGGAGGAGGAGGAGGAGGAGGAGGAGGAGGAGGAGGAGGAGGAGGAGGACAACGACGACGACCACGACGACGAGGAAGAGGAGGGATTGAACAGGAAGACGAGGAGGGCAAGGATCAGGAGGAGGACGGAGGAGGAGGAGGAGGAGGAGGAGGAGGAGGAGGAGGACAACGAGGACGAGGACAGAGCCGTCAAGATCGCCTCTTGGAGCCCTCTTGGGACTCTTTCGGGGGGTCTTGGGGACCTCTTGGGGCTCGTTTGGCGGGTCTTGGGGTCGTCTTGGGGTGATTTGGAGCCTTCTTGGGGGTCCTTTGGGAGCCATGGAGGGCATCTTGGGGCCATCTTGAGAGAAAGCTACGCATGGAATGGATTCCATGAAATCAATTGCAGTGGATCTGTGAGTGGATCAATCTAGATTGATGAGGCTATGATGCCTCTTTTGATTTTGAGCTAGCTATGATGCCCGCTCGTGCCCACCCCGTCCCGTCTTCAGGGACTTCGCATCCCCTTATGATGGTAGGATGGGAAGACGGGCCGCTGCACCTGGCACTGCACGTACAGTGCCAGGCTTGTGGGGATCTGGTTCGACCCCCGCAGTCCCAATGATGGAAACTGCGAGGGGTGTGAGGCCTCATGGTGGTCCTCACTGGTAAGGCCTATGATGGTCCTCGCCGGGGGGAGAGGACATCCGCCCTTGCCCTTGCCGCAAGGGCGGATGTCCACCAACAACGTCCATCGTGCTCATCCTCTGTGAAATGCACTGTGGCCACATTCATGACCAAGAAGACCGTGACATTCACGAGCACGACCCGATCTATGATTGCGGACTCCGTGACACGCACCATAACCACGCTCATGATCACGACGACCGTGAAACACACGAGTACGACCCGACCTATGATTGCGGACTCCGTGAAATTCCTTGCGGCCACACTCATGAAAGAGAAGACCGTGACAGTCACGAGCACGACCCGATCGAGGCCGAGGTGTTGCCCGCACTGCCGGTATCGCGGCTCCGATGGGGTGGAGACCAGGAGGAGGAGGAGGAGGAGGAGGAGGAGGAGGACGACGACGTCGATGAGAAAGTTGAGTTCAATGAACAAATTGAGCGCGAAGGCCTATGATGGTCCTTCTTCCCAGAACGAGCCTTTCTGATGGCCCCGAAGTGGGTGCGAGGTGCCTATGATGGCCCTGGGAGTGGGTCCCGTTCACGGTCCACTATGGGAGAACATCCTACGCATGGAATGAATGCAATGAAAGTCGATGTCAGTGGATCCGTGAGTGGATCAATCTAGATTGATGAGGCTATGATGCCTCTTTTGATTTTGAGCCGGCTATGATGCCCGCTCGAGCCCACCCCGTCCCATCCTCAGGGACTTCGCATCCCCTTATGATAGTAGGATGGGAAGACGGGCCGCCGCCCCTGGCACTGCACGTACGATGCCAGGTTTGTGGGGATTTGGTTCGACCCCCGCAGTCCCAATGATGGAAATTGCGAGGGGTGTGAGGCCTCATGGTGTTCCTCATTGGTAAGGCCTATGATGGTCCTCACCGGGGGGGTGGGAGATGGCAAGGGCGGACGTCCACCAACAACGTCCGTCGTGCTCATCCTTTGTGAAATTCACTGTGACCACACTCATGACCAAGAAGACCGTGACATTCACGAGCACGACCCGACTTATGATTGCGGATTCCGTGAAACGCACCATGACCACTCTCATGACCACGAAAACCGTGGAATCCACGAGCACGACCCGACCTATGATTGTGGACTCCGTGAAATCAAAAAACGTTTCTTGGGGCGGTCTTGAGCCGATCTTGGGCGCTCGTGGGGCCGTTTTGGGGGCCTCTTGGGTCTCCCTTGGGGTTCTCTCGGGCCACATTCGGACAATCTTGAGGCCTCGTGTCGCAAGCGAACAGGCGAGAAAGCACCACTCAGTGTTTTTGTTGCTCCGTTATTTGAAGGATGTTGTCCTCGTGGGGGTCCTGAGGGGCACCGAGAGTGTTCGGAGCCGTCTTGTGGCCCTCGTCAGGCCTCTTGGAAGCATTTGGAGGCTATCTTGAACTATGTTCGACTATCTTGAGCCGCCTTGTTGGCCATCGTGGAGCATCGGAGCACCCCTCCCCGAAGGGAAGAGGGTTCTTGGACGAGGGAAAAAACTTGTCAGACCACCTTATCCCAAAGGGATGGTGGGATTACCGATGCCGCCACGGTTTGATTCGCCTCGAAGTCCTGGTCAGAACGCGCCCCGGGAGATGTCAATGGAGCAGCAGTGTCGATAGTCGACTGGTTCTCAAGGGAAGGAGGAGGAGGAGGAGGAGGAGGGGGAGGAGGAGGAGGAGGAGGAGGAGGAGGAGGAGGAGGAGGAGGAGGAGGAGGAGGAGGAGGAGTGGTGGAGGAGGAGGAGGAGGGTGAGGAGGAAAAGGAGGAGGAGGAGGAGGAGGAGGAGGAGGTGGAGGCGGAGGCGGAGGCGGAGGGGGAGAGTGGCGGGGAGGGGCGAGGGGGGCGGGATGAGGGCGGAGGATGGGGGAGGGGGAGGGGAGGAGGAGGGGAGGGGAGGAGGAGGAGGAGGAGGAGGAGGAGGAGGAGGAGGAGGAGGAGGAGGAGGAGGAGGAGGAGGAGGAGGAGGAGGAGGAGGAGGAGGAGGCGGAGGAGGAGGAGGAGGGGGAGGGGGAGGGGGAGGGGGAGGGGGAGGGGAGGAGGAGGAGAGAGGAGAGGAGGAGGAGGAGGAGGAGGAGGAGGAGAGGAGGGAGGAGGAAGAGGAGGAAGAGGAGGAGGAGGAGGACGAAAAGGAGGAGGAGGAGGAGGACGAAAAGGAGGAGGAGGAGGAGGAGGAGGAGGAGGAGGAGGGTGAACAGGATAAGCAGCAACATAGTCCCAACCGGCACCGCGTGCAAGGGTCCCTGCGAGCAATGGTTCGTGCCCCGGGCGGAGGGCGGTGGCTCTTTCCCACTGCCACGCAACAGCTGCACATGTCTGCCTGCATGACTCGCACGCAGCACAGCCGCGGCACGGCATATGTCGCCGCGCCAGTTGTTCCGACGTGATGCCTTCCGTCTTGGGGAGGGCTCTTCAGGCACCCAGGCAAACTCCGCCTCGGGCGCGGTGGGCTTGCCGTGGGTTTGCCGCGGTGTCGGTGTCGTCTGCTTGGGCGCGGAGCGCAGGTTCCGCTGTAGGTTTGCCGTGGTGTCGGCGTCGTCCCTTTGGGCGCGTCGAGGACAAACGGCGCGGCGACATCTGTAGCTCAGAGGATCTGAGAGGAACTATAGTCAGCCCCGTACTCTCGCTAGGAGGAGCTCCTGGCTTCCCTGCACCCTGACTGACGTTCTTGCACCAGCTGGTCTGACAGCTGCTGCCGCTGCGCATCTTTCTGCGCACGAGCGGACCCCCAGTGCGTAAGTTTTAGATGTGTGTGGCTTCTCGCACGAGCTGAGACGATGCTGGCAAGAGCGGGACGGGAACACGCATTTTTCGAGACGAATCATGTTCACCGCCCGCCCATCTTGCTTTTCGCAAGATGAAGCGAAGATGGCCTTGCCGAAAGCAGTGCGAGAAAGTCCCGCGGGTGTGTTTTGCACGCCTTGCTACGCTCCATGCTTCGCCATTACATCGCCCGTA